AGCGGTTCGAACCCGTCCATCACCGTGCCGGGGGAGGATGTGTTCTGGATGGCGCCTGCTCCCGCCATGGATCCCCTGCCCGACCTCGTGATCGACTTATGGCGCATTTACTACAAGGTCGCGTCATGCCGCAATTGACAATCAGTTGACATCTGACTGGGTTGATTGATGACGGAACGCAAGGGAAGTGTGGTCAATTGCTGGTGTGAACAAGTGTAATGCATAACTTTAATGAGTTCATTTGATATCGTGTACTTGCTCTACAGTAACGAAGGGCTCTTACAACGCTTTAGTTGCCGACATGGCCACCTTCGTCCACGATGATGTACCTGGGAGTATTTACGTGCTCAAGGACACGTACGAACGCCACAGCCGTGACTACACGGGTACAATGGGCGCTTGCAGCATTCGACTGTGAGCAGTTGCACGGTTAGTTCGTTTCGTCGATCACATTGCAAGCCCGACTACATTTACAGCACTGTATCGTGATATTCTTAGGGTGGCATCCACATGGGCCTAACGATTCCTAGTATTGTACTACAGTAGTACTTCGAGTAGTATTTAAGATGTAAACTGGTTCATTCCAACAATCGACCATAGCTCATCAATCACCCGAGTCAAGTGTCATATTTTTTAATATCATATAAAATTTGCTGTGACTTCTTCCAGAATTGGCCAAAGGTCGATCACGAGGTTAAGGTTGGAAAGGGGGACACCAGGGGGACTGGGTGCTTGATAGAACACATCCTCTCCCGGCACGGTGATGAACGGGTTGAGGTTGTTCCAATTCGCGGGCATCGGCCGGCTGCTATTGTGTTCAAGGTTGCCGATAGGGGTTGGCAACTCGCGAAACGCTGATCCTTGAGCAAACGGCAACTCACTGAGGACAGCTATGACACGGTGATTCAGTTGTCTCGTGCCGAACGAGACCGCGTCAAACAAAGCAACGTTCCCACCACCATCACGGCGGACGAGCACAGCGAGCATCGCAAACTTGGGAGAGCGGGATTCGTGGTAGACTAGAATACCAACCACGGCGCGAACGAATTGGTCGGCGAGGAGCTGATTGGCCCACACCCACAGCTGCCGTATGTTGCGGTGGCTGTACTCAATCTCGAAGATGATTCGAGGTGTCGGCATGCGATTCTCTGGTTGAGCATCACGCTGGAAAGGAGGCAGACGACGGGGC